TATTTTTTTTTTTTTTTTTGTTTTTTTTTTTTTTTTTTTTATTTTTTTTTTTTTTTTTTTTTTTTTTTTTTTTTTTTTTTTTGGCCACGGCAAATTTGCCGTGGCCAAAAAAAAAAGGTGTGTTAGTTTAATGGTAGAATATAGTAGTACGGTTACTATTGCATAAGTTCGAGTCTTATACACACTTTTTTTCTTTTTTATTATAAACTCAGGTTGTAACCATTAAATCTAACGAATTATTATTAAACTATAATTGTTTTAAGAATTAGTTAAAGAATTTAAATATAACTTTTATCTCTTAAAATTATTAATTTTTTTTTAGTAGATAAAAAAGATAGTAATTGATACAATGTGTATATAACAATTTATATATACAAAAGGTGTTAGTTTAACGGTATAATAAAGAGCTACGGACTCTTAAATGTAAGTTCGAATCTTGCACCACCTTCCAACATTATTTGTTTATTTGTTCCAGTCGGTAATGTGATTACTACCAGAAACCAGTCCTATACTGGATGGACTGTAACTAGAATTTAGAATATTGTGATTTAGCGTAATACTTTCATATAAACCTTAAGCCATTACATTCAATCATGGTTCTTTTTTTCAATATTGATTAATATGCTATTACTGGTTGGTAAATTCTCAGTTCGTTTAATTTTACATGTTTTGGATGTTTTTAATTTTTCTTAAGTCATCAATCAGGTGAACATTACTACTGTGAATGCGTTTAGTGGGTTTTTTATTCATCTGTTTCATTGTTTTTGTAGTCGCCTAAATTTTTTTACTTATTTTTATTTTATAATCTATTAAATTAATAATGTTATAACGATTTTAAAAATAAAAATAATAAAAAAAAAAATAAAGGAGAAGGAAGTGATATTGTTGACTTTTTATGTTCTAAATTTGCGGATGTCAATGAGATAATTACACCGTTTTTCCAAAAATATCATCCTATAGAGATGAAGCATGAAGATTTCAAAGATTGATGTAAGGCGGCTCAATTAATGAAAAGCAAAGCGCATCTAACTTCTAAAGGTAAAGCTAAATTATTGGAATTAAAATCTGGTGTTAATAAAGGTATACATACAGAGTAGTTAGTACTTTCGCTGCTATTCGTAATATGGTTTATTTATCGCTTATCCCCCCCCCCCTCAAGGATCAGGTTTTCTTATGTAATATTTCCCAATATTATGGTTTTCAGGACCTTTGGTAGGATTGGTAATCTAGGAAACGGTAGGGTAAAAATTAAACACGTTACGTTGTTACAACCTTAAAACCTTATCTCTAGGTTTAGTATTTAAGTAGGTAATTAGTTGAATTAGTGTAAGTAGAGTTTATTATCTATAGTAGACTTAAACGAAGCGGTAGAGCAACATCCGGAATTATCTAGTAATAGCTTTAAGGAAAGAATAACTCTATATTTAACAAGTGTGTTGATCTAATTTCTGAAGGAGAGCTTCTTCAACATTAGATCAGTAAGTTATCCTATTATAGGAAGGGGCTTAAAAAAAAATAAAAAACTAAAATATGTGCCGGCACGATAATTTATTTATCATTTAAAGGTTATTTAATATTTTATTTTTTATTTTTTTTTAAACTGATCCGAAGGATAAGGACAAGTAGTTCTTTCTCTTTATTATGTTCCATATGGTAATTAGAATTGTATTTATATGTATAATTTATGTAAATACAAAAGGGGTGTTAGTTTAATAGGTAAAAATATAGGTAGTTAACTACCTAAGATGTTAGTTCGACTCTAGCGTACTCTCACCCATAATGAATATTATGGGTTTTTTACAATAATTTAATTTTTATAAATATACAATGAATATTACACTAATACTTTTTTTGATAGGGATTCTAGGATTCGTATTAAATAGAAAAAATATTATATTAATGCTCATCTCGATAGAGGTGATGTTATTGTCTATAACATTTTTAATATTGGTAAGTTCACTAAACATTGATGACATAATTGGCCAAACGTACGCTATCTACATAATAGCGGTAGCAGGTGCGGAATCTGCTATAGGTTTGGGTATTCTAGTAGCTTTTTACAGATTAAGAGGAAGTTTATCAATAGAATATAAATAATGTATTTAGTAATAATAATTTTACCTTTATTAGGATCTATAGTTTCTGGCTTTTTTGGTAGAAAAGTTGGAGTTAGCGGAGCACAGTTCATTACATGTTTTAGTGTAATAGTAACTACAATACTAGCAGTAATAGCCTTTTTTGAAGTAGGGTTTAATAATATCCCTGTTTCAATTGAATTATTTAGATGAATTGATTCGGAATGAACTAATATTTTATGAGGTTTTGAATTTGATGCTTTAACAGTGTCTTGTGTGAAGATATCTTTAATATGATATATAAGTGCTGTGTTGGTGAAAATCCAACTGTATAAGGTGAATTATGTCAATAGAATTTTTATAGGTAGCGGCCGTTTAACTTTAGCTGGGCATAGATACGGTAATAATACAGGTATGGCTTTTTCTAATAATAAGTCTCAAAACAAATATTTCTTCCGCCAGGCTAAAAAAATATTTTGCTAAAAAAAATACTTTTCAAGTTTTAATGGAAATACTGAAAGTATTACACAACCCCTTAAAGGAAAGTGCAGCTCAAAAACAGTAGAGGAAGTAGACTGAGAAAATCTTCTTCAATGATTTGTTGGGTTCTCAGATGCCGAAGCAAATTTTATTATTAATCCTATATTAAAAAAGGATAAAGTAACTATCTCTAGTTTTTCTTTTATGTTTAAGATAGCTTTACATAAAGACGATGCAGATGTTTTAGAATTTATTCATAGAAGGTTAGCAATAGGTCACGTAAGATTTTATAAAGATGAATGCATATTTAATGTTACAGACAGAGAAGGGATTAAATCGTTAATTTCTATATTTGATAAGTATAACCTTAACACAACTAAATATCTAGATTATTTAGATTTTAAGGAAGCTTTTAACTTATATCTAAATAGAGATAAAGATTTAAATATTAAATCTATTGAATATGCAATTATAGAATTAAAGAACAAAATGAACACAAATCGTATAAATTTTGATAGACCAGAAAATTCTAAAATTGTAATTACAAAATGGTGATTATTAGGGTTCGTAGAAGGAGATGGGTCTTTTTTTATGAGAAGAGACACTTTCACACCTGTTTTTTCTATTGAGATAACCGGAGTACAACTGGACGTTTTAATTAAAATAAAGGAATTTTTAGAAAAGTCTCTAGGTTTTAATACATATAGTTTATATAAATTAAAAAACTCTTCTATCATAGCAGTAACAACAGTGAAAGCAAGAAAAAATAGTAAAAGTAGCGTATCCCTTATTATTAAAAATGTTAGAGTTTTAAATAACTATTTGGTGCCTTTTCTAGAAGATATGATATTTTTAACTAAAAAAGGTAAAGATTTTCAAGATTTTAAAACTATTTGTAGAGTTGTACATAATGGGGCTCATAGAAATGATGAGATTAAAAAAATAATCTTAAAGTTATCTTACACAATGAATAATTATCGTTTATCAACTAATACAGCATCAGGTTCACCTTTAAGTAAAGATGAATGAGATAAACTATTTTCTGCATTACCTACTGTTAAATATCTTTTTGATGGTAGAGTGAGAGAAATATCCACAGGAAAATTACTACATCAACAAGTCAGTTGTGTATACGAGATAATTGAGCAAGATGGGGAGATCTTGATAGCAAATACTTTACCTGAAGCTGCCTCGATTGTAGGGGTATATCCTGATACTTTAAGTAAATATCTAGATGTTGAAACCCAATGTTCAGAACATTGAGTTAGACACAATAACCGTAAGATTAGAAGAGTACCTGTATTTTAACCTTTCCCGGCTAAAGCATACGTAATAACAAATTTACTTTTATTTTACTTAAACGGTAGCTTTAATTAGATCATACGCTTATTATACCTAAATCTTCTTGCACGAACGAGATGTGAAGTTACGTAGGAGGGAGGAGGAACTAGGTTTATAGTTAAGTTAAAAAACTTAGGGAGGAGGTGGGTTATATACTCCTCCCTTATTTCGACTAAATTATAATTACCCCTACTAAATTTTTTTATTGTTTTATAATCTATTAAATTAATAATATTATAACAATTTTAAAAATAAAAAAATAAAGGACGGAGGGGTTAGAAGATTAGCTCATAATAAAAGTATAATTACTATTACGAAATTATACCGCTACCTCAGTGTCATTGAACGTGGGATTACCTCGGAGAATAATGATAAATCAAGATCTCTTCGAGTAGACAGATTATTTGCGGGTTCTGGCTCCTAAAGGTCCCCAACGTTTTCGACGTTGAAATAAAACAAATATTACATAAATCTAGAAGAATTGGGTAAGATTACTGTCGAATAATTCTATACTTATATAAAAAAGGTGAAAACGGTTAATGAGATCCTGCTCAAAGACCGTCGGCAGTTGTAAATGTCGCTACAGACTGGTTCACCGGGGTAGGGCTGAAATGTCTGTCCAAATGTACAGTCGAGTCCTATAACGAGTGCGATATCGTAAGGAGGAAGGATTATATAACAACACTACGCACAGTTGATAGCCGATTCACACACGGTAAATAACTCCTAAGGGGGTTAACTTAACCCCCTATTCATTCAGTTTTATGGCTATATATAAATATGGTTATTTCTGAGTAAGAATTGCGTTAATTAGGGCTGGTCCATGTTAATACCTGTATTAATTATAAGTTCTTTAGTTCATATATACTCAATTTCGTACATGAGCAATGATCCTCGATGTTGCGTTTTTTTTGTTGGGTTTTTATTAGCTCATTTTTTTTGTAGTGATGTTTTGCTTTGAGCCTCTTACCTATGTAGTAATCTATTTTTTTTTATTTCAACAAATCTTTGCAGACCTTATAACATTCGGTTTAGGTAGTAGCCTTGGTCCAATAATTAAAAGAGAATTAAATAAGAGCTGCTTTGCCCCCACAAGTAAAGAAAATTCAATCCTGATATCTAACAGGAAAATTCCAATGTTGTTGAACAGAGGACAATGTCATTATTCTCGATTATCAACTTTTAGCCCCTTCGGTACGGGTAGCATGCTACCCGTACCTGGGTCAAAGGATGAAGAAAACTTCTTACCATGGTTATGTGGTTTTACTGATGCTGAAGGCTGTTTTTATATTACGAGTAGTGAAAAGGAAGGTAGACTTTCTTTATATTGAACTTTTGAAATTGGGCTTCATATTGATGATAAACAAGTTTTAGAGTATATTCAATCATATTTGCAAATAGGTAATGTGTATATATCTGGAAAAAAGGCTACTTTCAGAGTACGCCGTAAAGAGGATGTTATAAAAATCATAGATGTTTTCTCTAAAACCCCTTTGCAATCAATAAAACAGCTTAATTTTCAGGATTGAAAATTAGCTTTTGAAACTTATCAC